ACATCATGTCTTGGCAACATTATGAATACATTGCAAATCACAAATAATACACTTGAGGCAAATTACGCTAGCACACGTTTGTAATCATAAAATGTTTTAGATCATGACTTATGTTTCTTAGAGATCCATGAACAATACAATTAATTCGTAAAGAAAATGATTAAACACTCCATTTAGTACATGTCCAAGTGAATGGGTAGAATACAATATCACATGAAGTAGAAGTAGTGACTTCACAATAATTTATCTTCTAAAATAACCAGAGCCCAGCCCTACCAACTTTCCTCCAAATATATAAGTATCAAGAAAACTATTCTAAATAAATGTGTCGAAATTAGCCACATGTTCAAAATATTAATGTTTCAGCTTCATGTTGCTTCCTAGGTGTTTTGGTGCTAATTCTGCCAGCATATTACTCATCTATTCTTAAAAATAGAGATACTAATTTATTTAGACGTGTAAATGACGCAAGGCAGGAATATACAAATTGTTCAGGTTGTGCATCTATACCACAGGAGTGCAATCTTTACCAATTCTTACCATGGCTCACACTTGTAGCCCCTCCTAAAACACAGGGTCCAGGGCTAATACTCTGCTCATCCTGTCCACAGGGTAGGCTTGCTCCATGGAAACTACTGATATGTAGAAATTAAGCTGTGGTTAACAATGTTCTATTCATTTCTGATACATAATTCAAGGGTTGAGTAACTCAGTGTTCTGCCTTTATCCTAAAATGAAAGGGTCTTGATGGACTTCATAGAGACTTGGTCACCAATCAGACACGTTGGTGTCGAAACATTGTCCTTTGAAGACTAAATAAAACCAACAGTTACAGAATTTTTTCCAGCCTTAGAATGGATGTCGTAGGTTTTATCACAGAATGGAGAAAGTTACCGGGATTTATATTTTTAAAAGGCCTGAAAGTTGACCAGAATTTTCAATGTGTTTTAATTTGGGAACTTTCTAAATCTTAAAGCTATCCAGGGGCTTCTGAATGGAAAGACCACATTTTACTTAAAAAAAAAATAAAAGAATTTTCTGTGTTGATATTCAAATAATAAATTAACATTTTTAAATACGTCTATTGATTTATATGTGGTATAACACAAGCTTGGCGTGGGGCTTTTTCTATAAAAATATAAAGTAAATGACAGTTCATGTCAAGATCAGTACCAGGAAACAAGCTAACTTATATTAATGGTGATATTCCTCTTGTTATCTTAAATGTTGCAGTGTAGTTTGCACAGATGCCCATGCTTTTATTTTCTTTTTATATAATGCAAATGTTTAATTTCAGATTTGATTATCCCTTCATATAAATAAAGCTCCCTAATAGAATTGATGTCAACCTACCTTTACAAGCTCCCTAATAGAATGGTATGACAGCACCTTCACCATTTAAAACTTATATTGCACAAACTGTACATGATGTTAAGTGGTATTTTGTGATATCACAAAGAGAGCATGAGTATACAGCTGCATGATTCATATTTTAAATTGCCGTACACAACAAATTGGAAGAATGGTAGCAGGAATAGGGAGTTCAGTTTACCAAAATATATATGAGGAGCCTTGATTGTAGTGTTGAATTAGTTAGCTGTTAAAATCTATAAAACTCATACAATCACAGTCATTGGAAAAAAGCTGAAAAATGTGTTTTGTGTGGTTTCTGCTTTGAATCTTGTTTAATTTAGGTTGTGCGTGGGTAAACATTTTACGGTCGTGAGCATGAGAACATTGCATGCACTGGAAAACCAAATATTAAACTCTGACATGCAGAGCTAAAGCCACAAAAAATGAAGATACATTGAAAAATGATGTTCATGTTCTAGAAGGGTGTCATTATGTTTTTAAAGTGTGACATATATTTCTAAATTTGTTTCCAATGACTTTGCAAAAATATTAATATTTATTTCTCAGCTGTTTAAATAGCTAGTCAGTGCATCATAGCCACTATAACCCACTGTAGTGGTTATGATGTCAGGAGTACCTTTTTTTTCAGTCCCCCGATTATGGGGCAAACGGTTTACTTGGGTACATGATGAGTTCCCAAATGACGTACTTCAAGCTTCTGCAGACTTGCAGAAGCCAGTAGCCAATGCAATTGCCATTCATTAGCCAAGAGCACAGAATTTACATTAGTCATCCTGGAACTCTTGTTCTGGGCTGGCTGATGACAACCCAATGATGCTGCCGGAGGTTGAGTTACACCTCTGGCAGCAGAGGGGTTAAGCTCCATATGTGCAACATACAGACTTCAGGCTCCATTACCACTTTAAATCACATTTTCTGCTAATGTGATTGGAAAACTATAAGAAATCAAGAATTTCTTCTTGTGTTGCAAAGGTCAGCAAGGTATTGTCATGCACAAAAAACATTTTTTTTTTTTTTATGTAATGAAAATATAATTGCCTTTCTATAACTCAATGGTAAGACCCCAATTCCAAAGATGCAGTGCAATTAAAGGTGGATATTACAGAACAAGGAAAAATGCAGAGGCAGGGTACAAATTCAATAGGAAAATGAGAAAATATCAAAAAATATACAGGCCCAATTAAAAAAAAAACCTTCTTGTAACATTTTTATTAATAGGACTATGTAAATGGCAAAAGGTCACCTAATTAGAATTAAAGAAAAGGGATATCGCTTGCAGAGAACATTATTCTTTACAGAAACAAAAATCAATATGTAGTATGCTCTGGTTTTATAAGATTAGAAATACAGAGATTTTTAACCAATGTCTGGATGCTTTAAAAAAAGAAACTCACAAAAACCTTATAATATTATCTATGTATATAGCAGTTTAGCAGTTTTAGGGAAACTGTCAATTCCCAAGATTTTTTATCTATTTGTGACGTGTGAAAAAAATAAATTAAATATAGACATTCACACCTCTTTGTCTTGCAAATGGACACCTCCATCTTAACTTGTAAATTGTTGCTTTAACCCCTTAAGGACCAAACTTCTGGAATAAAAGGGTATCATGACATGTCACACATGTCATGTGTCCTTAAGGGGTTAAGCTTGTGCTTTGCACCTGGCAGTTAGTATAGAGAAAGCACACAGAGAATAGGACACATTAATCTGTATCTCCTTATCATTTACATTATTTGCCCTGGCTTTGCCTTGTCTGAAAAGGATTATGATGTCATTTGCTAAATCTTTAATATAAATTTATATTAAAAAATAGCGTCTCCGGAAAAAAAGTTTAACACAATTTATAGGTCCTTTTTAAAACATTTTATTCAAAGATGTACATTTCACAGAAACAACAGTTCCCCTTTTAATATGTGAGTTAACAGTTGTATTTTTCACATGTGTGGTACAATTAATATTGCTTAAAATGTTTATTTATTTTCTTGCCTTCTTTTGGATCAATGTTCAAAAGGATGAACCCGAGTTTAGCTTAAAACACTCTATATAGATGTCCACACGAAAGATCAGCTAAAATGGTCATATGTGTATTTTGCATATCCCTCACAAAACAGTGGATCCTCTTCATTCTGTTATAAAGTTACCGGTCCTCGTCTAAAGGGCAAATCTATTTTCTCTGTTTGTTTTAATGCCTTTGTGCATACATTTCATAATTAATTTGGTTTTTACTTTCAGACTTAAACTCTTAGCAAAGAGTTTTCAGAGATGTATCATTCCATTCCACTTCAGCCTCTAACCCCACTACTGCCTCTATTCCCCCACTACAGCCCCGATGCCATCACTACAGCCCCTATCCTTGACTACTTAACCCCTTAAGGATGGAGGCAATTGTACGCTATAAGTCTGTTCAACCACAATTATCCCTCTTTTATATTAAGTGCACCAAAACTTGTATATAATTTTGTTCAAAAGAAACAAAGCTTTTATTTCGCATCTAATATTCAAATATGAAGCATAATTTAGTATGAATAAAATAAAAAAAAAATTGAGAAATTAGGTAAGTTCTGCATGACCTTTTAACTGTGAATGTCAAAATATTGCTAGCTTTTACTTTAATAAAATACACATATTTGTGTTCAGAGATGTCTCACGAGTAGAACAGTACCCCCCATGTACAAGTTCTAAGGTTTAAATATAGGGCTTTCCATATATAGATAAAACTTAAAAACATTTGTAATATCAAAAAAAAAAAGATAATCAAGTCCTTATAAATAGTCCAATCACAATAACGCGTTTCGCCCAATACTGGCTTCCTCAGTTGGTATATGGTTTAGTTCTAAGTCCTTTTAAAATCTTTTATTCATTCAAAATTGAATTTCCTTTTGGCGTCTTTTATTCATTCAAAATTTAATTTTAACTTTTATCTCTACAATAAATCTTTGCAACTGAACCTTGGTGGAATCATCTACTTATTAAGCAAAAGGATATTGATAGAGCTTATTTTCTCCAGAATTACTGAAGAGGGGTGTGGATCTCCCTAAGGGTCATCACTCTAGAGCCAGGTGTCACTGTGGCTCTATGTTTTTGAGTGTATCTTACATATATAATAATAACAAAGTATTTAACCAGGAAAGGTACATTCAGATTGCTCTGGTTTCTAAGTACATCCTGGGGTTATTACTTTTGCCCAACATCCAGTGGATGTTACTATTACCCAATTTAATGAGGCTCATTTTATCTACCTCAGAAGGATGAAGGGCTGAGTCAACTATGCTGGGATTTTGAACAGGGTTGAAAAAATTCTACTGACGATGCATTAGCCCACTGAGATATCTCACCAGCACTGGGCTATATCATTTACATCTATCTATTTATAAGGCTAATCTGCACTATTTCTGCTCTCTCATTGTTTTTTACAGAATTTATGTATTACTGCAGTGGGACGTTTATATTCTAAGCTCTACCTACTGTATGTTTGTATTTTTTCTTAATATATTAATATAAAAACACACTTAAGTATGAAATTATATATATATATTTATTTCATATGTATAATATACATATATTTATATATATATACACATATATCTAATTTGTGTGCTTTATTAATTCATTTTTTTTCTCCTGTTTCCAACAGCAGTGAGACTGCCTGACAGCCCAGGCAGTCTCCCTGCAGGCACTACTAACTACAAGTATTTCCCACACCTCACACATTGCTACACACAGAGGCCCAAACTTAGAGGTCCAAACTTATCACTAACAGCTACTCATACCACTCACAGCTGCCCACAAGTAGCCACATACATCACTCACAGCTATACACAAAGCCAGACTTATACATCACACACAGAAAGCCACAACACACACATCACACATAGCAACAACACTTACAGACACACTACACCTACACAAGACACACACACCACACATCCACTCAACATTTTAATAAATAGTCACATTACATAACATTAAAAAAATAGCACAAGGAAAGATATTCCTGGTGCACACCCTAATAAAAGTATGGGCAAATGAGCTGGCAGTATCAGCAAAGATTGTTAATACTGGCCAGCAGGGAGCTTTGCAGAATGTGATCCCAGCAGCAAACCGCAGGACCCCAGGAATGATGGTTTCAATGCAAATTAAATAAGTGAGTGTTTGAATGTGGCTATATGTGTGCATAAATGTGTGTATATAAATGTGAAGTATCTTTGGATTAATGTAAATATTGTAAAAAGGGATGTGGCATATGTGATGACATGGATGGATGATATGGGTATGATATAACAACATAGGGGTGGGGGTGGCAAATAATTTTTTGCATAGGGAGGCAAAAATCCTTGCACCGGCCCTGTCTTCGAGTTTAACTTTAATCACACATGTGAGACTCCTGCAGGGTCTACAATGCTATTAACAGATCAGGAGATAAGAAATTCTAAGTTAAAAGGACTGTGCAATAGAGGAATCTTAAACATTAGATCTCTCTTATGGAGACTGTGTAGGTCACATGCAAGAGAGATGTGGGTAGGACAAGGTGATTTAACTCCTAAGTGACAAATGGTTGAACAGTGAAACTGTTGCGGAATGATCTATACACCTAAATGGTTTCACTAAGCTAAAGTTTTTTTGTTTCCCTTTAACCCTTAAAGACCGCGGACATATGAGGTACGTCCGACAAAAAACGGTCCTTAAGGACCACGGACGTACCTCAAAAGTCTGCGGCTAATTTGAACACTAGAAGCGATCGTGATCACTTCTAGCTCCTCTATAGGTATTGTACAATGCGAGGGGTCGAGGCACTCCGTAAATATAACAATTTTAAAAATAAAAAATTAATTAAATTTTTTTTAACCCCTACCCTTCCTCCTTCTCCCTTCCCATGTACTTACCGATCGCTACCGATCGCTACCGTTCCCCCGCCGGCAATCAGTCTTCTTCTGAGGGGGACTGTCTAGAGCAGCCACATGGCCGCAATAGGTGTCCACAGTGCTGCCAGCAGGGGGACTGCCTGAACTGCCAGGCAGTCCCCCTGCTGGTGAAAAAAGTAAAAAAATAATAAAGTTAATAAATTTATATATATATATATATATATATATATATATATATGAGATGTCATACTAAGTGTATATTTTTTATATTAATATACAATATATAATAACTATATATTGTGTATATATATTATAAAAAATTATAATAATTAAAAATAAATAAAAAACTGTAAAAATAATTAACATTTTTAATTTTTTATATATATATATATATATATATATATGTAATTTTATTCTAACTGTATTTTGATATTAATGAATATATATATATATATTTATATCAAAATACACTTAGAATGAAATTATATATATATATACATCTATGTATATCATCTTAACGACCGCGTACGTACTAGGTACGTCCAACAAAAAACGGTCATTAAGGATGTACTCGGTACGTCGGCAGCAAATAGGAGCCCTGAATGTAGAAACTATATAGCATGGGTGTTTTTTGGCGGTTGTAGATGCGTAACAGATTTTGGGGGCCCAAGTTCGAAAAAGTGTTGTTTTTTTTTAACATTTGTTCATCATATTTTTTAAAAAAAAATTTATAATAAATTATATGATGAAAATAATGGTATCTATAGAAAGCCCATTTAATGGTGAGAAAAAACAGTATATAATTTGTGTGGGTACAGTAAATGAGTAAGAGGAAAATTACAGCTAAAAAAACACAGCAGAAATGTCAAAACAGCCCTGGTCCCAAACGGTAAGAACATTGAAAAGTGGTCTGGTCACTAAGGGGTTAAGAACAATTTGACAGCATACCTGGAGTCTTCCTCTTCAACACAGAAGCTCCTTGCACAGAGCTAAGCCTGTGGATGCACGTAAATGCTCATGAAATTAACTGGTCTTGCATGGCAGGGCTTAACTCAGTGGTGCTAAGTAGCTCCTTGCAGGCGAAGCAAGAGCTTTATAGAGAGGATAAGGAAGGTGAATCATTATGTGAGAGGAGAGATAGTGGTTAGAGGAGGAAGGAAACAGAAGATGAGATGGAGAAGTCGAATTCAGGAAGCAATATGATGGGTTTTAGTCTACAATCTATAATCTATAAATAAATATGTTGGAAACATTGTTGGTCGCAAGTCAGATTAGTCTACGTCAGATACATGAAGGGCTATTTGGAAGCTTCTGTATTTGAAATAGTGGATTCCCTGTTCAAGGATTTGTTTCGGAATTCTTTCAATGCAAAGTAATAGCAAATGGCATCAAGGCAGCAGTTTACATTAGCCATACAGAGTGTCAGTTGCACAAAGAGACTTATGCTCCTTTTGCTGTTGCAGTCTGTGATAATGTGCTGTCTAACCAGGAACTGCAGAAATATCCCTGCATGACTTGGTAAGAAAGAAAGCAGAAACACAACAAGATTTGAGATGGAGATGCGTATAATAACAGGTTTACAGTCCTTCACCTGCCTCGACGATGGTCTATGAATCAACAAAGACCTGATGACTTGAATGGAGCAGTACAACATGACCAGTGTTGGAATGAGAAATCCAAAGACTTCAACAGATATGACTTTTGGGAATGTCCAGGTGTCATCTGACATGTTATGGAAGCATCGAACGTTTTCCTGGTTTGTGCGAGACCCGAACGTGCAAGCACTGATAGTCCAAACAAAAATCCAAATGCAAACGCAAATAACTGTGGTATTTTTTGGTGAACGCAGACGCTTTGCCCAAAATGGGTGTTTAATAGCAATGTACCTGTCCAAACTGATAAATACAATAGTATATATGCTCCCATACATATTTGTGAAATACAGGGACTCGACAAAGCTACAAAGGCTTTGGTTTCCAGTAACATTTTGCTGAGAGAAGTACACCTTGAATGGCAAAGAGAGAAGAAGGAGCATGTCAAGAATGGCTAAATTTATTAAATAGATTGAGACCTCCGTGTATTTTTTCATTGAGAAGCAGAATGTCTTTAGAGCCATTGTATTAAGGATTGTTCCAATAATAAGGATGGGGATATATATTGCCAATTGCACATGATTCACAACATCATTAACATCAGAAAAGGAACAGTTGCTCTGACTTCCATTCATTTTTCAGCTGGATAAGAAAAAACAAAAAACAGAAATGTTATTAATTGCTACCAAGAAATAAGTTTAATGTAAACATGTTCAGTTCAGTTTACCATTATTGTAAGTTTTATTGCTATGGACCCTTTTGATAAACAGATCTATAGACACGGCAACTATTCAGAAAGGTTAATTAAACCTGTTTGTATACGAGTCAAAGGTTAGATTAGAAAAAGGTAAACATATATTTATTTAATTAAATATATACTGTGCATTCATCAAGTAGTGGCATAGTAAAAGCAGTTGTGTATTAGGGTGTGATAGCGTATTATGCACTCTCTTACAATAGGAGGCGCTTCTCCAGGTTTCTCTTTTTGGGGGGCGATTTGAGGAGCAGGCCAATGGTCTGCCACATGGGCCCCAGGAGAGCACTTACAAGAACAGTAGGCACCTACTAACCTAGACGACAAGTGTCTACTCGGAAATATACCGGAGAGAAGAGGTAGGTGGAAGTAAGGGAGTGCAGATTTTCTTCTAGTTTCTCACTGCTCCCTTGCACAATGTTTAGTGTGGATTTTAGTTTAGAGCAGTGAGGATCTGGTAGATTACAGGAGCAAGTGGACCCCAGGGAGAAGATCCTCAATTAACCCCAGGGAGAGGATCCCCACTGGCTCTCCTAAAGGTAGGGAGGCTGTAAGGGCCACAAAGAGAGACTGCAAACTCGGGGTGGCAAAAGCTCTAGCTATGCCACTGCCCCACTTTTAACTAGCCATATATCTGCGTAGAAATTACCTCTAATTAGTCTGACTCTCATGACTAGTCACACTCACTTAATTAGTCACACATTAACACACATGCACAAGCAGGGCCGGCGCGTCCATAAGGCGGCACAGGCGGCCGCCTTAGGGCGCACCGGCTCAGGGGGTGCAAAATTACAGTGACTGGCAGGAGGGTAGTGCTCCCTCCTGCCAGGTCACCTTCTGGATCCCCGGCCCGGCGTGCGGCTGAATTGGACTCCGAGGTGGCGAGGGAGCTCTGATCTCTCTGATCTGCTCCCTCGCAGGCTGTTTACTGATGACGTCATATTCCGGCTCCCGTGGCATCAGTAAACAGCCTGCGAGGAGGGAGCAGATCAGAGAGATCAGAGCTCCCTCGCCATCTTGGAATCCAATCCAGCCGCACGCCTCCCAGCAGCCCCACTTGACCACCAATGAGAGACCCACGCCAGCTCTCCAGGTAGGGAGGCTGGGTGGGAAATTTTTATTTAATCTAGATTATTAATTACTGTGAGAGTATGTGTGTGTGTGTGTGAGGAGAGAGGGGAGAGGAACAGTAAGAGTCAGAGAAAGGAGGAGACCATTAAGGGACAGGAAGAGGGGCTGAATGTAAAAGAACACACAGCGGGGCTTGAGAAGGAAAGAGACACACAAAGGAGCTGGGAAGAATAAAAGACACAAAGGGGCTGGGAGAAAAGGAGTCACACAAAGGGGCTGGGAGGAGTAAGACACAACATGTGGGAGGATGTAAGAGTCATACAAAGAGGAGAGATACGAGACACACAAAGGCAAAAATAGGAGATAAAATACACTAAAGGGAGTCAGATATTTAAAAGATGGGATAAGAAGCACAAAAGGGAGGTTAAGAGGCACATGGGCGAATATGTTTTTGGGGGGGCGGAAAAATGCATCTTCGCCTATGTACCCAAAATTCTTTGCACCGGCCCTGTGCACAAGTGTGTATTTAAACACTGCATTTGGTTAGCATCAAGGGTGGTCAAAAAGAACTGACATGGAGTATAATCTGGCGTAATAAATAAAGCAATACAGAACATATAGGAGCATCACTAGAACATAAAAACATTAGTAGTAATAATAATATTATTTTACATAGAAACTGTAGTATAACCCCCCAAAAATTAACTTTGCAGAACCAATAAGAATATGTTACCAGACTATAACCATAACAGATTTTTATTACTCTCCATTTTACTATGTTTACTATGCTGGATTATTTTAAATTTATTAAATATTAAAACATTTTTTTGACCACCCTGAATGTTGCCAGTAAAAGTTCAGTGCTATACATTGGATGTCCCAGTCCTAGAGAAATATAGGTAGGCCAGGAGAACTTTGAGTTTTAAATATCAAAATCAAGCAATTCTTCTAATAGTGGGAAAAGTAGAAGGTATTCTTAATGGCATCTAATTAAAATCTGAAGACAAAAATATAAACAAAATCTTACCAATAGTTTTTAATTTCAAACATTTTATTTTAAAAGTATTAAACATTGTGATGAGACGCAAGCGCTACATTTCAAAATTAGGGCCTGTCTTCCATTTTTTAGAACTACATAATCAAACCAAATGTTTCAAAGTAAACAGACAGCCAAATTATTTAATTACCAACCCAATTCTCACATAGCTAACTGATTTTACAGAAGGACTTCCTCAAACATCTGTTTTTTCAGTGTGGATATGCTAATATTTAAAATGGGGCATAATGAGCAGTCTACATTCTAAGAATTTGCCATGTCTGTGATAGCAAATTGAAACTAGTAACAGAATGACAAAGGAGTGATTTTAAACAAATTGAATTACTTCTACCCTAACCCTGTTTTCAATACATAGATAAATAGATAGATGTAGAAGTTGGGCTCTGCATTCGTCGATTACAATATTTAAATGCTTTGGTGCAAAACCGGCCAGAAAATACAGAAATTTGAAAGCAAGTACTCTTACGACTTCTTAATGAATATTAATGATTCAAACACTACTTATTTTGTTAAACAGAATAGGTGCTTAAAGGTGTGATCATCGTTTCAGTCCTCACACAAAACTCCTTTCAAGAACTTTAAAAAAAAGTCCCATGTGAGGACTGAAATGTTGGTCACGCTGTTATGTACCTATCTGCTCACTTTCACAGTATTTTGTGAGTAATAACCTAATTATTTACTGGCTTTTCTTTTTGGAGAACCCCTCATGCATAAATTTTGCATGATACAGATGATAAAAAATATTTTTAAAATGTCATTGTCACCCTCCTCCCTAAAAATTAATATTTCATAAAATTAAAATCTTTGTGAAGTTATTTATTATGACTGTGTTAGAATTTCACTGAAATTCCAACCCACTCAAGAGATATACAGAAACAAAGTATGGACTACTGGTATCTATGGCGGATCCTGCGGTCTCACTGGATCCTCCATAGACCACAACACATGCAGGAGAGCACAGCAGTGATGTCAGCTCCTAAGAGCATCTGCCGGGTCAAGATGGCAATGCTCACAAGGGATGGATTCATACAAGTAAACGTACCTTTACCTGATCTCCCCAACAGTCACCAGACCCGGACCGACATTGTCACCCTTAGGGGTCTTTGCAAATTCAGCAAGGTCCCCAAATGGTGACAGTACCGCTTTAATTAAAATATGTATGTGTGTATGAACAACTGTTTAAAGGAAATGCCCTACTGTGATATACAAAGCATTGGCTTATGTTTACTATTTATAATGAAGTTGTTTGGAAATAGAGGGATATATAAAGTACCATCCTCACTCCCATGACCGTCTAAAGACAAAGGTTATTGTATGTAGGACAGGAAAGGACACGATAGAGACAAAGAGTGGGATGGAAACGTTTGTAATGAACTAACATTTAGTCAGCAAGGGTTCCACTTACCTGAAGGTTTACTCAACTTTCCTTTGCACTTTATGCCCTGCTCCAGGAATACTAGGAGAAAAGACACTGGAAGCTGTTGGAATTTAGTTTTCGATCCATTTTTGTTTTTTCAGAGTGCAGCAATCACCACGGAAATCAATAGATCCTTCGAATTACTCCATAATTGTTAACAGATAATCCACAATGAAATCAGAAATAAATATCAGAAATGTTGACTGGTAGCCGTACACAGAAAAAGCCTGCTCTGTAAATTTTGAAAAGAAATATATAAATTAGATTAAGAATGTCTTGTGCCAATTGTGACTTATTGTACATACAATTATAGCTAATCAATAGAAAGGCAGATGCATCATGGGATTCTAAAAAAAGTAGCAGGAAATGGTAGTTTAAAAGGAAAGTTAAGGCTCCCATACAAAAAAAAGTTTCTTACTTTTAAATAATTTTTTTTAAAAAGAAAAATAAAACCGCTTTTCAGTATTAATCTTGCACGCTCTACTTTGAATTTCATGACACTTCCTAAAGCATGCTATATGCTTAGCATATGTAATGCTTGCCCATATGAGTCAATAAACACCGCTATTGCATTTACATATTATAGATGCGATGACATTCATTCAACTGAATGGAAACTTTGTACTGTTATCTTTTTGCCGTCCAGTCTCCTCCTTTAGTCTAAGAGTCAGCTAGCAGTGGAAGCAGCACAACAATAGAGACACACAGGGTATATGGTAGTGTCATATTCCCTGTGTGTGCCTCTTTCACCGATCTATTTTCGATTATCATTGAGAGCAGCGTGGGTGGGAGGGAAGAGCAGGATCATGAGGAGACTGGCAAACCATGAAGTGCAGGTCTGGCAGCATGCCAGAGGACTAGCGGCCGCCAGTGTTCTGTCACATTCACTTTCCTGAAAGTGCATTTCCACTGACAGCATGGCAATCATCGGAACTACTGCTCCCTCTTAATTAGAACTCTTTCTCGCTCGTCATCGGAACCTCTCCTCCATCATCATCGGAACCAGTGCTCTCTTGTCATCAGAACTCCTTCCCCCTCATCATCAGAACCCCTCCTTTCTCATCATCAAAACTCCTTCCTCCTCATCATCAGAACCCCTCCTTTCTCATCATCAAAACTCCTTCTTCCTCGTCATCAGAATCCTTCCTCCCTTATCATCATAACTCCTCCCCCTCATCATCAGGGCTCCTTCCCCCTCATCATCAGAACCCCTGCTCTCTCCTCATCAAAACTACTTCTCCCTCGTCACCATCATAACTCCTCCCCTCTGTAACCGCAGGTGGTTCCCTTATTTACCACTATAATGTCTTAAAGCATAGAACTTAGAAGTGCTAACCATACAGATATCTTAGCCATAATTTTATATAGTTAGTAAGAGATCCTCTATTTAACATATATAAATAATTGAGAATACAATATAAAATAAGGATTGTCTTGGAAGCAATAAAGTTTTGTCTTTTTTGATATTTATTATATAAAAATATAGACATATAAAATCCATTACAATAATTTATAGCAGAGTTTCTAAGATTAAACTAAATGCTTTCAAATATCATTAATAGGTTAACATACCCTCCTGAACATGTCATCATGTCAGCCTCTCTGTCATTTTAAGACGGAGCAGCGTCTGTCTCCAAGTCTCTCCTCTGTGTCTTAACATTTAAAAATACACCTATTTATATCTTAGGTGTCTTCATTATAGGGTCACTGTAGTAACTTCTTTTACTTTTATTTATTTTAGGACCTCCCTTAACTTGGCAAAAATACAAGGCCATAACTAAAGGGTGTACATGGAATAGCCTTCCAGCTGAAGTGGTAGAGGTTAACACAGTAAAGGAGTTTAAGCATGTGTGGGATAGGCATAAGGCTATCCTAACTATAAGATAAGGCCAGGGATTAATGAAAGTATTTAGAAAATTGGGCAGACTAGATGGGCCGAATGGCTCTTATCTGCCATCACATTCTATGTTTCTATGTTTCTATGTCGTGGAAATTTTCCTGACTTAGGTCAAGATGGCCTCTTAAAGTCTAAACATCTTTATCTACTTAGGGTTACCACAGTATATTATGTACTGAAAGAGTCATAGCATAGCCTTGAAGCTTGTTTATGCATTATTGTTATTGTAATTCGTCTGGGACAAAATGGCGTAAACACATTATACACTGAAGGTAAGTAAGAGGTTATTGCTTAAAGAAACATGTATGAAAAACAATATGTTCCATTTCTAACACCTTGTCAGTTTGCAATATCTCTTACAGACAAAGTACACAGTTTAAAGGAATACACTATTTCATTCTAAAACTTGTAATATTTGCATTTGCCCATAACACCTCATTATTAGAACTCCTTCTCCCTCATCCCTCATGTTTGCCTATCTGCAGGGCCGGTGCAAGGATTTTTGGGTACATAGGCGAAGATGTATCTTTCCACCCCCCCCCAAATAACATCTTCACCTAT